CTGTTCCCCTGGGTAGCCGGGGGGGGGAGGGTCAGCGCCGCCGGTGTGACTTGGCCGCATAAATTCCACTGACTCGGGAGAAGAGCTGAGTTTTTACCTCACATGGCTGCTTCTGAAATCCCAGTCTCCTGCGCTGCCCGCGGGGCTGGGAAGCATCAGCTGGCCGGGGCCAAACAGCTGGAGACGCGCCTGAGCTATTTCACTACGTCGAGTATTTCCACTGATGCCAAGCAAACGTTAGCAGGATCGGTCCCAGCAGCGATAATAATTGCCGAGGTGGGAGTGAAAGGTGTAGCATGCAACTCCAGACACAGGGGAACAACTGCCCATACTTTGCCCGCCGTGACAGTTCATTAAACCGTTTTAAAATATGTTCTCTTTTTTTAAGTGGATATGTACAGAGACGAAGAGCATGAGGATGTGGTAGCGGCAGGGGTCTTTTCAGGCGGTGACTTTCAACCAGAAAGGAAAGGAGCTAATCCTTAAATCGGTCAGTTGTTTGAGAAGAAATGACATACATCTTGGATATGTAATTACTGAAAGTGTCAAACACATAATATACAACACAGGTGGAAGAACCGACTCATTGTTCAAGACCCGCATTTTCTCTGTGCTCAACCCTTATTTAAAGTTTGCATTCAAAATGAATCGATTTCGGTGTGATACACACAGAAAGAACAATTCCGAGGCGCCTGGTTTACTATAGCTTTGTGGCTGCACAATATTTAAGGTCCGGAATGACGTCTTGTGACAGGTAAGGACGAGGGGACGGGACATCATCTGTACCAGTCAATCGTCAACTTGTTTAGCATGTTCGTTTTGGATTCTTGGCAACCTTAATACTTCACTATATATTTACCCAAGGCAACCTTCACTCTCTGTCTTTGTGAAGGCGTTAAATTCAAGTGGGAGGGCTTATACGAGCAAAAACAGTGGGCGCGACCGAATCCCATTATTTTGAATCACCGTCACTATTCGGGGTATGTTTTTCGTGTAAAGCTGAAAAAAGCCGGAAAAGGAACACCGAGCACCAAACCCGAGCCAAAAATACAGCAGACCTGCTTGTTTTGAACTCCCCTCACAAAGGCTCTATCATCAGCGCCTTTTGCCTTTGTCAAATCCAAAATGGTGGGATATTTCATTTTCAGTGTATTTGATCTCATTGAGAGAAGCTGCCATGTCCCTCTGTAACCCCGGTAGTCTAGCAATACGGAACAAGCCTAACGGTGCGTTACTTTATCAGTTCTGCTTGCCGGGCTAAATTAAAATGATGATGAAAAAGCCCATCGCTCCAGTCACTGAAGGGACTGGTAGGGAAACGGTCCATTAAACCCAGATCAGGAGCTATTTATAGAACTAAGCGACTACTCGTTAATGTCGCCTGCGGGTACCAATGAAATCTCTAATAGACACAGGACTAAACATTCGCACCCTGATTCTTTTCCAGTCCAAACTTCCAGGCACCAAAACGTTTAGTAAATGAGCTTCGACTCAGGCAAGTAGGGCAAGAGGTTTAAGCATATCTCTGCTTTGAAAAAAAAAAGCCCGTTTATCCCGCGAAATAATTTCCCATCCCCCCTCAAAGATGTAGCCGGGGAAAATGGGAAATAATTTCTATTCATAAGGGGCACGGGCTAAGCTGAATGATTCTCCCCATCAGAAAATGAAGATTTGACTGTTTGTCTCCGAAAGCGAAGGCGCCACAGAGAAATCTGGAGAAGGAAGACAGCTTGTTATCTGCAAATGAATCTCTTGCTATAACGCTGCGATCTGATTGTGCATTTGTTTCCTTTCCTGCATTTCATGTGCCTGCGCGCTGACTGGCTGCCAGCGCTATCTTACCAGCGCAGCAACTGACGAATTGCTCTTTAATAAGGCTCTCGTTAATCTTTTTCCCCCAGGAGATCCGTATTTTCTAGTCAGATAAGGTTGAAAAATTTCAGACAGCGAGAGGCGGCCAAACCCCCGGCTCGTTCCTTCTCGGCG